TGGCGACGTGAAAGAGTTTGTTGTTCTTGATAGCTTCTCTGAGTTTCTTCCACCTTTCGGCCATTAGATTATGGTTGTATTCGAAGAAATTCTCGAGTTTGTTGTCATCACTTTCGCAGCAGCTAAGGGAAATGATTTCAAAAATGGTGGCTGCTCTATTTTGCGCCTCTTTCGACACTTCGATTGTGCCGACTTCGATGAACTTCACCATTTTTCTAGCGACTGCATCATCCTTAACAATCGTCCATCTTTACATAAAGAAAATAACACCATTTCTAGCTAATTGAAGTAGGAATATAATGGAGATAAGAGAGAAATGGAGAGAAAATTAAAGTAATTAGGGATTTTTAAATGGAAAAGACAAAAATAGCCTGGATTTCGCATGTGCAGCGCACATGGATTCATAACCGGTCATTTTGACCTGGAAACGGGCAAAGTGGCACAATTAATTGAGTACAGGTAAAGTCGTGCAAAAAAAAATTGTTCAGGAGGTGATCCGCAAAAACTTAAAAGTTCAGGTGGTTTAATGCTATTTACCCTTAATTATATGGGTAAATTCCACTTTACCCCCTTGTACTTTTGTTGGGTATCACTTTACCCCCTTATACTCTCAATTGCATCGATACGCCCCTTGTACTTTGGTTCGATATTACTTTACCCCCTTGTACTCTCAATTCATCGATTTGCCCCCTTGTACTTTGGCTCGTTATCACTTTACCCCCATCTACTCTCAATTGCATTGATTTGCCCCCCGTACTTGAAAAATTGTCTCAATGTGGCCCTCGCCGTTAGTTTTCAGATATTTGACCTTAACACCGTTTGATTTAAGTATGAAAACTACTAAAATGTCACCCCTCTAGTTTAAATAATTATTAAAAAAATTAAAAAAAATAAAAAAAATAAAAAATTCAAGACAGCGAGAAAACATAGTCCACGCCAGCCACGATTTTTATTTTATTTTTTATTTTATTAATAATTATTTAAACTGGGAGGTGTGGTTTTTTTGCAATTTTCAAACTTAGATCAAACGGTGTTAAGGCCAATGGTGTGAAAACTAACGGCGATGGCCACATGGAGATAATTTTTCAAGTACAGGTGACAAATCGATGCAATTGAGAGTACAAGGGGGTAAAGTGATATCGAGCCAAAGTACAAGGGGGCAAATCGATGAATTGATAGTAGAAGGGGGTAAAATGATATCGAACCAAAGTATAAGGGGGCAAATCGATGCAATTGAGAGTATAAGGGGGTAAAGTAATATCCAACCAAAGTACAGAGGGTAAAGTGGAATTTACCCTAATTATATTCATGTTTGCCAAAAAAAAGAAAGAAAATAAATATGTTTTGTCAATACATATTTTCTAATATTTCACTAAAAAATCCAACATTGCAAGAAAATGTAATTCTCAAACAACAAAACACTTCTCTTATAACATGAAAAAGTACACTTCCATATAAATTATCTCATCATTTATTGTACCATCATAAAATGAGTTTATTGCAATTAGTACCCTTGTGTTATATCAAATTGCTACAAATTATCCTATGTTTTTTTTTTGCAAAAACAACCCTACATTTTTTTTTTAGCAATTAGTACCTCTCTTGGGTTGTGTGCTAATTTTTTTGAATTATTGGGTGGTTTTTGCCAAAAAAAAATAACATGGGTAATTTGTTAGCAATTCCACATAACACATTAGTACTAATTGCAATAAACCCATCATAAAATCTCTATAAATAAAACTCATACACTAACTTGTAAATCACTACACATTCCCGATTTTCACCATTCGATGCACGGTATCCCGATCCAACCCGTGAAGGGCATCGATCAACTCGGCCCGCAACGAACCCGGCCCACGGGCCCGACCCATGCCCACTTCTCCGGCAAGCCCGAAGATGGACAATGCGGTTGCAGTGGCCTCCAACGGATGTGACGGGTCGACGGCTACAAAGGCGGCTATTAGGGCGGTGACGGAGCATCCGGTTGCCGTTATCTTTTGCAGCATGGGGACCCCGTTTGCGGACCCCACCACACGAGCACCGTCCGTGACTATGTCGACCGCTCCGGATACCGCTACTACACTTCCGGTGGATCGGGACAACGACTTCGCCGCTCCAATGACATCATCACCGGTTGAGTCGTGCGTGCTATCCGGACCCTACCAAAAACGGAAAGGATGATTGGTGGGGGAGATAGTTTACAAATTGAATTCTATATACAGTTAAACCTCTATAAATTAATACAACCTCTATAAATTAATAGAGTCGGGACTCGGGAAATTCTATTAATTTAGTAAATTATTAAATTATCGAGTTAATAATTTTAACACGTTTTCACCGAGTCAGAACCGAGAGAAACCATTATTTAATTGATTTATCGAGATTTTACTCTAGCAAATATATATATATATATATATATATATATATATATATATATATATATACCTTTGAAGTTTGATCGACAGAGCCCTTGAAGAGAGCCATAATCTCGGAACCATTTCCCCTGACAACGGTGGGCTTCAATTTCAGCAGATCCAAACAAGCCCTTAGACGGAAACTTGAAGCTCCGGCGGCGACTGGGTCAAGCACCCATGGCTTGTTGCACTGGTTCGCCACCTCCGCCGCCATCTTCATCGCCGGTAGCCAGTCCGGGGTGAGTGTCCCCACGTTGATGTAGAGCGCGTGGATTTTGGGGGTGAATTCCGGGATTTCTTCAACGGAGTGTATCATCGCCGGCGAGGCGCCGGCGGAGAGAAGGACGTTGGCGACGAGATCCATGGAGACGAAGTTTGTGATGCACTGGATGAGGGGAGCGGCGGCGCGTACGGATTCAAGGTGGGCCCAGGCTTGTCGGGGCCATGATTCTGTGCTCTGTTCTTCTGGAATTTGGGGGTTTTCCTCCATGGTTGCGTGGATTGTGTACGGCGCAATTGGGGATCTATTTTGGTTATTTCAAATAAGGCTTAATTCCACTTTGCACCCTCCAAATATACCACTTTAGCACTTTGCACCCTTAAAAATAACTAATGGCACTTTGCATCCTCAAAACATGTTTAATTATTCAAATTGCACCATAATTTATCTTCTGGACATAAGTTTATGTGGTTTACTTATTTTCTGATTGTCAACATGGTCCGATTGAATGGATTTTTTCTTCATGGTGCAAATTACTAATGTATTTTTGAGCAAAAATGATCTGTAGACTATCAGAAATTATATAAACGACGGAAATTCTGGTCGAAAAATAAACTAGGATACAATTTGAACGATTAAACATGTTTCGATTAAACATGTTTCAAGGTGCAAAGTGCCATAAATTATTTCCGGTCTCCGTTTCTGTGGGCTTTTGAGGAGCAGGAGAAATTGTTGGGGGTAAAGTGGCAAATGGTACATTTCGAGGGTGTAAATTAAAATTAAGCCTTCAAATAGGATAAATCTTTTGTTTTTACGAATGGGCTGGAGGTACTTGGCATTTTGCACCCTCCAAATACATTCATTTGACATATTGCACCCTTAAATTGAAAATTTGGCACTTTGCACCATGTGATACTTTCCTTCGAAAACAATTTGGATGGAAATGAAGTGGTTCAATCCGTTTTTAGACAACCAATTGAATATTTCAGTTGCAATATGTGTTGCTTCCTTAAATTATTTGTCTCCAAGTCGAAGGCATTATTTGTGAAGCTGCTGCCGCCGATGTTGGCTCCGGCATACGCATATCTAATGAAGGATAGAAAAAATGAAGAAGAGCCAAGAGGGCAAGGAATGTACGTGGTTATATGAGAAAGAAACGAGCTTTTCGAGTTTTTCTTCACCTGTCCTTTGTCTTAAATTGCAAAAACAACCAAAGTTTAGGGAATTTTTTGCCATTAACCCTTAGTAAGATATTACATCAATACATTCCTATCAAACAAGTTAACCTAAATTAGACTCGTACTTTAGTATATATGATAAAAAGTTAGTTGTAGTAATTTAATGACAGCTATTGTTCTGTAATAAGTGGTGCAATGTTGGCCTGTGAACTTGTTATTTACAAAATCTTCCAAAAGTTGAACCATAGTTTTTTTATAAAAACTTTTGAATTTTTTTTGGTAATATCGCTTATTTCGATCTGTTTCGTCCGATTTCCACTTCGAGGTAAAATTCACATCAGACAATTTTTGAACGTGATGGACACGCCACGCCACGACACACCAACAATAATCCCGTGATAAATTGAAAAAGAAAAATTTATGTACATAAGATATAATCTACAAAATTAATATCAATTTGGAAAAGAAAAAAAAATCAACAATTATTAAAGCAATATTACAATAAAAGAAGATGTGGCCAAGAAATCTTACTTTGTAGAAACAAAATCAAATAGTGGGACACAATGTAATCCTTTATTTTTGTCGCCTCTTAACTTAATTTGACCCAAGTATCTTTCTCTTTCAACACAAGACCACACATAATTTGGCTCATATGATCGTCCATTTGGGTGTAAGTCTAATCACATGGATTCACCTCTATACAATTTTAAATATCTTAATTGTCATCACATATTTTTCTATTATATAGAGTGCTCAATCATACCCCTTTTAACAAGGGCTAAAAAACAAAAGTAAGCATGAAAACTTATAATGAGCACTTTAATGAATTTGTTATATGCTACATATAATGAATTTTAGTAGGTTATTGCATAAAATCATACTTATTTTATACACATGCATGTAAAAGTGTGTAAGTAAAGAATCAAACTCGAGTCAGCACAAATAGTCGATCAAAAGAAACCACGATCAAGAACAGTTCGTGCACATATATAATCAGAGCAAACAAGAAAACCGTAGTATAAGAAATTTAATATGAAATTTAATGAATTAACTGAAATAGAACACAAAACAATTGGAGGATAAATGATATTTATCCAATCAGTAGGAACAAGAGTTTACAAAACGATCAACAAGAAAATCAAACTACAGAGATTTTCTTAGACAAATCTCTCTCTCTCTCTCTCTCTCTCTCCACTACAGTAGGAACAAGAGTTTACAAAACGATCAACAAGAAAATCAAACTACAGAGATTTTCTTAGACAAATCTCTCTCTCTCTCTCTCTCTCTCTCTCTCTCTCTCTCTCTCTCTCTCTCCACTAACTAAGGACGACTACTCATCCTTTTATATCCTCCGAGAAGTTAGCTTCATCTCCAAGTTTTCAGCACGCGCGTCATGAGTGCCATATTCTCATGTGATCAATCATCCAGTGCATATACAATTAGTTACGTACATGATACTTCTCAAATTTCTTTATCATCACAACCACTTATCTTGATCAATTGATGATCAAATCCAACATACCATATGTAGCATTTAAAAACTAGTATATATAACTAAATATTAGTATCTTTATATATATATATATATATATATATATATATATATATATATTTTAGTAATAACTTACTACATTTTCTTGTTTGTATATGGATGTAGCCTATAATATATTAAGAAGATATGTGCCAAAAAAAAATCAATAATTGAAATACATTATTAGTTAGTAATAATTATAATAACGATTGGCAAATATATTAATTAGCAAGAAGCCAAATAGTTTGGCCTACGTGTCTCACATGAGTGTTGAAATTTGAGGAGATCACAAGAATAAGCATATGCCAAATTAAATTAATTTCGATTATTGTATACTTTATTAGAGAATTTGATTAGTAAAAGGAAACGACTTTTCCTTATATTCCACGTGAGCGGCACATGTTATTTGGAAAAGTAGTTGCACCCACTCCAACTATTACTAACGTGACAAAATTGAAAGGTGTGTGTAGCGTAGGACCCACGTAGCATGCATCCTCTAAAATATTCAAGAAACCCGATAAGAGGGCGTGTTTGGTACTATTTTTTGCTTATTTGAAAACAGAAGCTAATAATTATAAATTAAACTTAGTTTTTGATGCTTCGTTTTAGAAGTTAGCGGTGTTTGCAAATACACTCGTAAATCAATTTAAATTGAAAAACAGGTCCACATGTGTATTTTATTTTACAACTTAAAGCAGTTTATTTTAAGAGAAGCAAAAGTATAAATTGATTTTTATTTTTACAAGCACCTGAAATAGATTATGAGAAAAAAAAGTCCATAATCTATTTCTACAATTTTTTGCAAATATCACCTTAATGTTACATTGTTGTAATTAGTTTCGTAAAGAATTATAACTGCGTTTATTTAGGTCAAATTGGTCTAAATTGACTGATTTACAAGTTTGAACCAATAATAAAACAATATTATAGTTTGAGTTTTGTGGAGAAATTTTATAGAATAATATTTAAAGAAACATACAAAATAAATTATTTACAAAATTTCAAAAGGCTCGGAAGTTAAAACTGTCCAATTATAGTCTAAAAAAAAGAGAAAAAAAAAATCATAAATCAATTTTCAAAAAGTGGAATGAAAAGAAATAGTTCTAAAATTTGATTTTTTTTGGACAAGGCAATTGAAATAAGAAAATTAATTTTACTATTCACCTATAATTAGGACCGGCAATTGAGTTGGACCTAACCGAAGCCGATGGCTTAACTCGATTATATTTGAGTCGAACCTATTTTTTAGTAAGTCTGGTGAGTTTGAGCCATTTTATTAAACTCAATTTATTTATGAGCCCAACTCAAGTTTACTATAGCTCAACCCTAATAAGATCCCGACCGATTAAATTAATAATACAATATATAATATATTTATTATTTTAATAATATGGCTTAACATACAAGTTAAAACGGTATAAGGTTATTTTATTTTGTAAAAAAAAGTCAAAAGTAAAAGGAAATAAGTTGTGGTTGTGGCAATAGGTAAAATAGGAAGCAAATGCAACGTACCCACCCAAACTCAATTGGAGAAAATTTATCACCGAATTTGAGAATACAAAACATTTCCAATAATAAGAGTTAGTAATGTTTTTTTACTTCTTTCAATATTGTCCGTAAGTTTTTCCATCAACTTGCAAATATTGTTTATGGTTTCTTTGGATTGACTTAAATTGAAATAAATCTTGTTTATCACTTATTATCATTGATTTTTTTTTTTACTCATCGCAGATTAGCAATTCTATATTAATGAGGCGACATAAATCGGAAGTCGAGCTTAAACTGAGGTCCAATGGTATGTGAACTTAAGCCTATAGTAACAAGGCCCAATAATATGTGAAATTGGGTCAACTCAAACTCGACTCACATGGCCCGATTGTCAGCCCTACCTATAATATTAACATACATAATAAAAACGATACTATAATACAATTTTTTTTTTGGAATTTTTGAAATTAAAATGGAATCAAAATTAAAATCTTATATTTATTTCAATTTCTATCTAAAAAATTTTGAAAATCAAAATTGTGGAATTGTAGAAAATATTATTCCACACTTAAAAAATCTTGAAACCCTAATAGTCAATAGTATTGATTATTGAAATCCAAATCTCAAATATAGAAAAATTCTATAGTCCAAACATGGCATATGAAAATATTACCACCACCACTTGTCTTATCTATTATGACAATTTCTTAAAAATAAAAATAAAGTAAAACCTAATAAGTAATAATGGTCCAACACTAATTAATATTTTTGCAAGAGTGCAGATAAAAAGCAAAACAGGCTATAACTCCCCCTCGTTAGGTGTACAAGGAAATTCATATATTATTTACATATAAAAGTCAAAAAATCCACATCCATTTAAAATATAGGGTAAATTACAAAAATCCCCCTAAACTTAGATTAAATTACAAAAACCACTCCACCTATTCGTAATTACGAAAAACCACCTGAGATTTGTTTTTGTTCGTACACCAATCCCCTTAGGCCTCGTTTGGTTGCCAAGATAAGATTAAATAGTTTAATGAAACTCAATTATATTGTTGGATAGATCCAATAAAAAACATGTTTGGAAGGCATATATAAGCTCATGATAACATAATATTTGCGGGTCAACCTAACAAATTATTGAGAATACCAAACATCAAATAAAATCCAATTATTTAGTTAATTATGGATAATCTCTCCAACCAAACGAGGCCTTACATTGTGACTTTTCACGGATTATTTTTGATTCAAGGGAATAGACTTGACACAAATTCAAATAGTTTCTTTTATTTCTCACGTGTTTAACAGAAGGTATAATAGACTGTACACATTTTCTGTAAAAAAACTCGATCAACAGTTAATCAGAGGGGGGTTTTGGTTATTACGAATAGGTTGGGGTATTTTCATTATTTAGCTTAAGTTCAGGGGCGTTTTTGTAATTTACCCCAAAATATATAATTAATTAACACATTAAATAAAAAATAGAAAAAAAAAAAAAAATCTTTTCCTCGTTGAATCCAATTCATTTCGAATTTCCGATAATAATATCTCTCACTATCCTAATAAGGAAAAGTGGGGAAAGAGGGGTTTTCCTCTCTCTCTCTCTAAACCTAACATTTCATTCTCTCTTTCTCTCTCCTCAAAACCAGACCCGGAAGAAAGAAAAAAAAACCCATTTCGTATATGGAGTTTTTGGACACAAAGGACCCTTGTTTCGTTATAGACGATACCCTTCTCGACTTCACTCTCGAAGACGAAGAAGTCCACAAAACCTTCTCCGAAGGCGGCGGCGCCGCCGCCGCCGCCGGCGTTTCTGTTTCTTCATCTTCTTCTTCCTTGGAATCCTCCAACCCAGCGGCGGCGTCGGCGGCGGTGTTTAGCCACGAGGCTCGAAACGGCTTGTTTCCTGTAAGTTTGCTCTACGTGTAAAACTCGAACAAGATTTAAAAAAAAAAGAAAAAAAAAGCCGGCCGAGAAATTGTCTTATGAGTCGGTGCGACTCGGTCGATTTTTGAGTCGACTCGGGCGAGTTGTGATTGGTTGTCTTTTCGTGTTTTTTTTTTGCTTAATTAGTAATTACGATTATGATTGTGATTAGTGTTGAAAGATTTTGCGTGGACTAATTTGCCCCTTGGAGGATTATTTAATTGGGTGATTAAAATCGTAATTGGAATTGGTAGCTTTAAAATAAAATGTGACAAATGCGCACTGAGCTTATTATTTGTTTTACTTTTTTTTTTTAATCTTTTAATATTTGATTTTAGAAAAGAATAAAAAAAAAAAACAATAACTAGGAAATATTCTTTTACATGTGTCCACTTGCAAATTGCCCATGTCTGAATATTTTGACTTTTATTGCACTAGAAAACATCCGATCCTTATCATGGTACTCACCCCAATTGACATTATTTTATTGAGCAATAATAACTATTAAATTAAATGTGCAACCCAAAAATTTGAAATTTTGAAGAAACACAATTTTTTAAAAATTTTAATTGACCATTATTAGTGAGTGGACTCATAATCGTTTCAACTGTACAACCGAGTTATGACCGAGTCACGCACGCAAGACTCAATTCGAACATTTGGGTGTTGTAAAGTTTTAATCTTTCTTCATCTAAACGCCTCTCTGAAGGAGTTCTTGAACTGAGTCAACTGAGTTGACTCGGTGCTTAATTTGCACGTGTTCTTACCGAGTCATGTCCTCGTGTGTATGCAGGAGTTTGTGGAGGAGGAACTGGAATGGTTATCCAACAAGGAGGCTTTTCCGGCGGTGGAAACTTGCTTCGGCATCTTATCCGACAATCCGGAACTCATCTCCAGTCACAAGAGCCCCGTTTCCGTGCTCGAAAACAGCACAACAAACAATTACACCACCGCTTTGAGCTGCTTCGAGCATCTCAAAGTTCCGGTCAACTTCCCGGTGCGCGCACGGAGCAAGCGGCGGCGGCGGACCAGGCGGTCTTGCTCCGGAGATCCGCCACTTCAGCACCACCGGCCCCTCTCGGTCGAGAACAAGTCGAAGGTGAAAAGTAGCTGCGGCGGCAACAGCGGCGGTGGTGGTGATAATATGGGGAGAAGGTGCTTGCACTGCCAGGCGGACCGAACCCCGCAGTGGCGGGCCGGGCCCATGGGCCCGAAGACCCTATGCAATGCTTGTGGGGTCCGCTATAAGTCGGGGCGTTTGCTACCGGAGTACCGCCCTGCGAATAGTCCGACCTTCTCGAGCAATTTGCACTCGAATTCGCATAGGAAGGTGGTCGAGATGAGAAAGCAGAAGCATGTGGAGGTTGGAGGAGGAATTGTTGGTGGGCCCGGGTAACGAGGTTTTGTGGATAGAGGGTTTAGGGTAGTGCGGTGAGGAGTTTCCGTTTTCTTCTCTATTTAGTGTTGCGCCATAGTTAGAGATTAGGTTTTGGAACTCGTTTCCAAGGCTTGTTGTAATGGTTTTAGATTGTTAGTGAAGCTAAATCGATTTTCTTTTAATATCGGAATGGAATGGATTAGGGAATTTTGACTTGAATTCGCTTTCGATGCATTAGACTATAAATTTTTCAAAAGAAATCGTTTTTTAACGGGTTTTTTTGTATTGGAGATTTTGAATAGAAGCAAGAAGGAATGATCAATAGTAGAAAGAAAGAAATTTGGTGATGTTTAGTTTAACGTTTTGTTGTACATTGGCTGTTTGAAGATTTGTTGTGTTATAAGATTTTAGCTTGTAATATGGTAAATTTATTGTGGTGTATGTTTTTGTGTTTTCGTTTTTTTCGTTATTGCAAAGAATAATCTTTAACATATATTCGACATATTGTGTGCAAGAACGCATCGGCAGATCACTGCATGAGGCACAAGGAGAGTGGTTTTGAGCCAAATCTTTCTTTCGCCTTGCGATAAGGCACGAGTAATCGGAACGCTAAATGCGCCACGTGCATAATTCGTCTGCATATTTGAATAGTTATGCATTGACCTTTTTTTTTTCTTTGGGTGCAACAGAAAATCGGGTCTTCTTTATAATTGAAGGGGTCAGTTTGGCAAAATAGGGCTAAGAGAGATTTATTGGGCCCACATGCCCGATACGTTTTAAAGAAAGCTCGTTAGTACCAAGTTAGCTTAACAATGCCTCCGAGATAAACGGGTAATAAGCTCGCTAGCTCATTCGAGCACGTAAGAGACAATAGACTGGGTAACCGGTCAATACAACAACCTTAATATTTAATATTGCCGTTTAAACGAGCATTATCGATCAACAACACAACAACATTGTCCCAAAAAAAATATTATTGAAAAAATATAATTGTCTTGACCGATCAAAAAAAAATAAAAATAAAAAAGCTACAAAAAGTAACCTAATTAAGATAAATTAATACTAACGTTGTAAGAAAATGAATTTGGCGGGGGTTTCGGAACCCATCGGAACCAGATTTGTTCGACACCATTCTCATCCTTATTATACCCTCTCACACCATCCTCGGTCACTCTCCACACACAGTTCACGCACCTGTCGGAATCTCTTGCGTCCTCGTAAATATTAAAACCCCCCGTCACGTTTTTCCATTGCATGTTGCACGAAAACAGCGTTGTCCCCCAGAAATTCGGACGGAACTTCCACTGAAAGTGATCCCCGTTTTGTAGCAAGTGGGGGCCGAAATCGTTATCTTTCGATTTACAACGTAGGTTGAGGTTGATGTTTTCTCCAAGGTTGTTGTACACACGCACCGTAGTTTTGCGTCCTAATAAGCTGAGCTTTCTTGCGGAAGCTGCCTCGCCTCGCAGTAACGCGGCGCTGAGTGAGAGAAGAATCAGAACTCGAAATATGCGATGTGCGTAATTCGTTGACATTTTTTTTTAACTTTGTTTGGAAGTGGACTCTTGCTTGACTATGTATATATATGTATAAATACATATATATTATGTTGTAATGGAATAATGTTTGAATGGCATGCATGCCTTTGCATGATTTCATTAGTGATTTGTTTGGAAAATGTAATTAAGATTTAATTTGTAATTTTGTTCAATGTGAGGAGGGTGCAAATAGAAGTTAATGCTATGAGAGGAGAAGAATGATTGTAGATCTTATGAGGGTTTGCCAAATAGTTGAATGTCAATATGCAATAATGTATTAGTATTGCAGCCATTGGTAAAATCTAGGTTTTAGCCCCACAATTTTTTGTAAATATGAGTTTTGACCCTCTAATTTTTATTTCTATTTTTCTTCATGCTCTCATGTAAATTGATATATTCCTTTTCTTCATATTTATCATGACAATATAAAATGTTATACCATTTTTAATAAAATTTGTTAACTATTACTTATAATTAGTGGCGAGGCTCCCGAACCTCAAAAAAAAAAAAATCTTCCATTAGTGTTTTTTAAAAAGAAATTGTCCCCTCTAATCAAATTTTCTGGTTCCGCCCTTGATTGCAGCTTACATGTAGTAGTTAGATTCTTTTTGTATTAAACTTCAAATAATTTTTATCTTAAAACCTATCTAAGTTCGAGTAATATACATCAATTTGGGTGTGGACTTCAATTTTTATTAAAATTTTGAATTAGTTTGAATGTTTCAATAGGCCATGTTACAAAATACCAATGTTGTAAAAGATGAAAATCGAGTCGGTGGTGCTTAGGCACCGCCTCACGATTAATCGGCAAGGCGGTAATTAACTGTGATAAATGAAAATAAATCAATTTTCAAATTTAATGTAATATATTTCTAGATATTATATGTAAATACTCAAAACATATATAAAAAAAATATTTAAACATGATTGTATCCCAATTATATAATTTATATATCCTAATCACATAATATAACTTTAATAATAATAAAAATATAATATAATAAAAATCCTTACAAAATATATATATAAAAAAAACCGTCTTCATTCAAAAATTATGCTTGAATATTGTAAATCATATATCATTAGTTTGTTTAAAAGTAACAATAACATAAACAAAACAAAACATTAACTCATTTTTTATTAGGGCGAATGGCAAAAAGGCCCATCACAAGGTATTTAAATGCACATTGGTCCACAAAAAAAAAGTCTTTCAAATAAACCCATCCCCGTGTTTTTAGTCTAAAATACCCTCCATAATATAATTCTTATCAATTCCATCCATTATGCTCTAACATCCTTAATAATAAATTTTTTTTTGAAAATAATAATTTTTTGAAAAAATATTTTTTTTTTCAGAAAATAATTTTTTTTTGAATTTTTTTTCCGGCCAGATTCCGTCGTTAACTTTTTTCTTAGAAAAAAAATATTTTAATTAATATTACTGTCTTGGCTACTAAATTACTGTTTGGGACAGTAATATTATGAATATTATTTTCCCGAACAGTAATATTATTAATATTACTGTCTGAGACAGTTAAATTACTGTTGGAGACAGTAATTTAGCAGCCAAGACAGTAATATAAATTAAAATAATTTTTTTAAGAAAAAAAATTTCAAAAAAAAAGTCAATTGATAGTTAAATTACTGTCTCCGACAATTAAATAACTGCTGGAGACAGTAATTTAGCAGCCAAGAGAGTAATATCAATTAAAAATATTTTTTTAAGAAATAAAAATTCAATTAGTTGTTAAATTACTGTCTCTGACAGTTAAATAACTGTTGGAGACAGTAATTTAGCAAAAAATACAGTAATATTAATTAAAATATTATAAAAAAAAAAGTCAATTAACAGTTAAATTACTGTCTCCGACAGCTAAATAACTGTTGGAGACAGTAATTTAGCAGCCAAGACAGTAAGTAATATTAATTAAAATATTTTTGAAGAAAAAAAAAAGGTCAATTAACAGTTTAATTACTGTCTCCGATAGTTAAACAACTGTTGGAGACAGTAATTTAGTAGTCAAGACATTAATATTAATTAAAATATTTTTTTAAGAAAAAAAAATTAAAAAAAAATTCAAAGCCGGAGACTCGGCGGTTAACCTACCGAAAAAAAATTTCAAAAAAAAAAGTAAAAAAAAAAAAAAGGTCAACGCCGGAGACTGGCGGTTAACGGCGGCTGACCGGTGGTCTCCGGTGGTGGCGGGTCAAAATTGAGGTAAAAATTGAAATTATGGTTGAAATTGGTTAATTGATGAAATTGGGTTAAATTGGGGTGTAAATCGTGAAATTGGAGTTGAATTGAGTTTCAATGAATCGGGGGTAATTTTGGTATATATAAAAGGATTTTCCTTATTTGCAAATAAGTTTGAATAAACTGGATTTATTTGAATGACAAAAAAGTTGGATGTCACTCTTTTAATTAAGTGCCCTTATCATGAGCATATTTGTCATTTGCCCTTTTTGTTAAAAACCCAACTTTTTTTTTTTTGGACTAGTTTAAAAATAAAAATAAAAAAGACACCGATCTTTAACCGATTTTTTTAACCACCTCAAAGGTTTGACCACGTCGGACTACCTCAAACTGCTTGATGGACCAAAATCCATTTTTCAAACTTTTACATCAAAATCGTATAAGTTTTGGACCGCATCCGCCTTACAGACTGATTAATCGGCCGCCTCGATCGATTTTTAGAACATTGTTAAATATTAACTCTTATTATTTGGTCAATTAGTCTTAGTATTTTGTTTGGAACCAACCATATATGTTCAATGAGTAAACCTATATTCTCATGTAATAACTTACAAACTATACGAGATACGTAAATCGCACTATACTAACCATGTGTGACAAGTTCAGCCCATGGACAAAATAATTTAAAATCTATGTCAACTGACGTAGAGTCACTTGGTCCTAATAGTAGCAAATAGCAATTGAACGAGGTAGTACTTAATTATAATATTTAAATATAATTGTATTTGATATATATTGTCTAATTAATTTTTAATTCCCAATTCTTTTTATCCCCATAATTTAAGGAGCTAATAATTAGAGTTTTGAGAAATTAATAGTTTTCAAATTATGTTAAACTTTAATATATGTAGAATGCAGATTCACCATATTGATATATACATAATAAATTATATTTTATCGAAAACTAAACATAATTTGTTTGCTATATGTAAATACTTACCACATACATTTAAATGCCCTATAATAAACTTTAACTGCAATGTTAATACGGGGAAATTTATTCTTTATTGATTTCCTTATTTTATTATTTTTTTTAGAACAATTTATTGTTTATTATGACTATCGTACTACAGAAAATAATAATAATAATAATCATAAAAATATAATCACTCTGTTTCCCAAGGAGCCACATTCTTAAAATGGACGTTGTCGTAGCTGATAGCAAACCCCCAGTCATCGATCCTCCAATACACGGCGGCTCGGCCCTTATCGCGGCCCGGCGAGTACGACTCGAAATAAGTAAATTTCATGCCATAATCCGCCGACACGTGTACGTCGTTGTTGGCGTTGATTTTGATCTGATACTTCTGCCCGGCGCTGAGCTGAGCCTTGACGCCGTCAACGCCAAAGATGACCGGAGCCGAGCCGCTAGGCAGCGCGCTGGTGAAGTAAAGCACCGCCTGCGCGCCGCCGGCTTCGACTTGCGCCGCCGGCGATGTGGAAAAATAACAGAGGGCTGAAGCCGCCAAGAACAAAGGGAAAATTAAATATTTTGAGGCCATTTCGTTTTTCTTTTATTTATTTATTTATTTTTCTTTTGGGGAGTATTTATAGATTGGAGTGGGAACGAAATCGGATATGATATTTAATTTTATGGTATGTATAATTCATAAATTGGAAATGAAATTATAATTAAATCCTTCAATTAATGAAATCCGATTCTGAAATTTAATAGCATATAATTAGGGTTACGTGTTTTTTTTTTTTGGAAATTCAAGTCCATTACAAGAGGAAGTATGAAAGATTAATAGTGTTTTTCTTGAAATAAAATTGAAGTATTAACTCTTAATGGATTTTTCTCAAAACTATTAATGGATTGATATTATTCTTTACAAGAATTAAAAGATTATGGATTCAAAGTTATATATATATATATATATATATATATATATATATATATATATATATATATATATATATATATATATATATATATATATATATATATATATATATATATATAGTAAGAATCGCTTGTTTGCTAAAATAAGATTACTTGATAAAAGATGAAATAATCTAATGAAAATTCTATTGTTTTAATGGACTTTGGGACGTCCGAAAAAAAAAAAAAAAACTCTCTAAAGGCAAGAAAATATAATATTTGCGGGTCGACGACCCGACAAGCTATTGGAGTACCAAATATCAAATAAAGACCAATTATTTAGTTAATAATGATTGATATGCACAACCAAACGAGGCCTAAGTAGAAACGATTAATAATAACATTTTTTTAATAAATAAAATTGAGTTCTCTTTTGGTTGCTTCTACAAGTTAGTACGTAGCATGTCCGTAACTAAATACTACTATTAGATGAATTTACTAGTGTCTCTCTACCCCTTGATTAATTTTGTAGATAGTGATTACCATAATTGAGTTTACTAAAATACTACAAAATAAGAAATGATTAATTGTTAAATTAGGAAAATTATTAAAAAAAAATATTTGATATCATATTTCAACATTTTGTACTAATTAAATTTATACAAAATACCAAGTTAGAAAATACATTAATTTGCACTCAATTATCTCATTTTACTTAGTTTATTATCTCATTTTACTTCTACATAATTTCATTCCTTTTCTTCTTCTTGAAGTTGTACTAATAACCAAAATGAAATGATAAACACAAATGATATATATTGTCGTGCCCATACGCAGTATTCTATTGGACTTCGAATTATATGAATGATATTACTACGTTCGATGGGAAAAACAAAAAAGAATTAGTAAAGAATAGCTATT